AAATGTCTGATTCAATTCAATTGTCATGACATGTCATGAGGGGTCATGGAATTTCGTGACATGTCATGACTCCTCATGATTTCATGACACAGGATTACACTTTTGGAGAGTACCTCCATACTTGGATGGTTCAGCATGGTGTAGAGTCTCACATGGTCTTGACAGCACCTGTCAATGGCCAAATCTCAAGAACTACAGCACCAATTGGGATGAATAAGGGCTCGTTGGAAAGCTGGAGACGAGGAGGTTGCTGACGAGAGGATAGGCGGGCGCTGTGGCGAAGTGTCGCGGAGTTAACTTTTACAATTCCCATTTCGGACCCATTGTCATATTTTCCCCATTCATTCATATTTCTTTTATTGTTTCCCCAATTGGATATCCATTATTTGCGGTTGCCTAACGGCCCATTTACATTCCCCCATTCCATTCATTCCATTTCCAACTCATATAAAATAGATAACAGCTTGTACATAACAAGTTAGTACTGAATAGACCCATGAAGGGGTAAGAAAGAGTTACATCCAAGTGGCAAAGATGCCATCCACGACCCTAACACCCCCCTTGAGCTTGTTGCTTACATCTAAGATCCCTCTGCTCATAACTCTCAGCCTTGACATCCAAGAGAGATGTAGGTGAGTGTTTAGTTGAGGTTCTAGCAGACCTGGTAGCGCCCCAGGGCCAAAACCTGGCCCCACAAACCACACCCACACACACTACAACCCTCCCCCTCTTCTCTGTCTCGAGTCAAGGCGATTGACCCATTACAACGTCCCATGGGGCATAGAGAACATCGTCTGGATCCACACATATTTGTTCATACATGTCCGACATATCAATCTTGGATCGGTGTCATGGCCATGCATTCTGGCCTGTTAGCCACCTGTCCCGATGCCACCTGAGCCTATTCCCGCTGTGCGAGTGTGAGTGCAAGCCCCAACCTCAGCCCTATCCTCCCTGCTCACTCCCCCACTTGCCCCTAGGCTCCCCTACACTTGGCCAACTCCCCCACAGCCACACCGACCTCCCTGCCCTGAGTCCGCCTCTGGCACTGACCTAGCGTGACTCCGTGACATCGCCTACTCCGCTATGATACCATCGCCGCTATTGCAGCCCTATGCTCCTTCCTTTATTTATCTGTTATTGTTTGTTTTGACCCTCGGTCATTGCTGGCCGCTATGTGGCCAACTCCGCTCCTTATTCCTGTTTGCTTCCGGACCCTTCGGCCTTCGGACCGGGACCGCTTCCATTCATTTTTCCTCCCTATATATATCCTGTATGATACTTTATTGTACCTTAGCTCTAATATCAATGTGACCACAACCCCTAAGTCCTGACCCAAACAAGGCAACCCCAGTGAGTCCAAAATGAGGGCCAAGAGACAGCTAGGGGGCACAGCACTCCCTTTAGAGTTGCTGAGGCCAAATGCCCTACCCTCGGGCCTTGTTCGAGGCATCGTGGCCATCGCTGCTAATAGTGGCCCACATCGGCGACCTTCGGTGCCGACCCCGGACCAGTGTCTAACAATCGGTATGTTCCTCTGGTGATGGATTCTTGGATCAGTCGCATGTCTGGCATTGGTGTGATGTCGAGAATCGTGTTTGAGTTACAATTTCTTGCATCAATTACTGTGTGCAAAGATCCATCTGCTTTTTGGATGCACAGTAGCATGCATGCTTGCTTGCTGCTTGTGGGATACCACCATTCTGCTTTCACATAGCAATCCATTTTGGTTGCTAGTGCTTCCTGCAGTGCTGCAGGACATCTCAGGGTGTTTTCCCAAAATTTCTTGTTCAGATCCTTTAATGGGCTTCTGTCAGGACACAGCAAAGAGGGAATGTGCATGCCTGGACCTTTTCCCCGGAAGGGAGGCCAGAGGTAGAGGACGAGCAGAGGGACCATGGCCACTTGGAGAGGAGTGCTGTGCCTATGTTTGGTAACGCTGGTGTTGGGTCCTTAACTTCAGAACTAGGGGGTGCAAACTCTGGGGGGGATCTAGTCGTCGATTTTGCACTGAAGTGCCATCAACTACAATACATGACTTATATACATAATACAGGACAAATGAGAACAAAGGGAAAACCCAAGATGGACTTACCCACTTGCCAGGTTGGCAAGCTCGTGAGAGAATCACCTTATTGAGCACTGTGGAGTGGGCAGATGAAGGGTGGGATTAGCAACAGCTATTATAGTGGGAATGTCATATCCATACAATCCTGACCTCTGCTCCGGGCTCCCGGAACTCCGAACTCCGACTTCCGGAGTCCTACTTCCCTTCCGTCACCTCCTCCTTGCCGACTCCCAAGAGGTTATCCCACCTCCGGCTCAGACACCACCTTCGGTCCGACTCCGGAACATTCCGGGTCCGACCCCAACCTCGACACCTTCCAGACGAGTATGCAAAACCTATGCTCCCGACTCCGGACCTCCGCTCCGGTATCCCGTTCACGTCTCGTCTCCGGAACCTCCGGTCTTAGCTCCGACCTCGGACTTTGACCCCACCTCCGCTTATACCCATTGTATTGGTTAGCTCATTCCATTTAATTACCTTTGCCAATATTCCGGAGTTTAACCTCCGAGTTCGGACTTTCCGGACTTACTCCGGACCTTGCAACTATTGCATTGTCCATTTCAATTCCGCTATTCTCCCTCATTCCTATTTGGGCTGCTGCTTCCTTTCTATTCAGTCAGCTAGCCATTCCCGACTCCCATCCTCCTTCCTTCCTCCTTGGGCCTTGGCCCTTCATTCCTCCTTTGGGGAACACCATTGAGTCAAACACTTGACCCTCGGTGTTGTTCCTCTTTCCATCTCCCTTTGTCTCCTTTCGTCTTACCCTTGTTCCTTTTGATTCCGGACCCCTCCTTATATACAATGTACCTAGTAACTTGTAACCCCAGTCCGAAATCGACATGAACTCCCCCCAAGAGACTTTCCCTCTGCTAGATCCGAAATTAGGGACCCCTAGGACAACCAGCAATGGCACAGCGCTCCACCTGAGTCGCTGAGGCCGAGGTCCTTCCATGCTAAGTCTCCGATTCCATTCCGGAGTCGTCCGAATCCGCACGTTCTAACAGGGAACACCTTTGCAGGGTTGGCAGAGGTCTTAGGAGGTCCATAGTAATGTTGGGTAGGTAGAAATATTAATAAACTTCTATGATGAGGACCTATTAGGGGGTACTGGAGATCGGAGGTGGAGGTGAACCGGAAGTAGACCAGAGAAAATGGTGGAGGTGAGGGAGAGGATGAACTGGAGGTGAACCAGAACAGTGGTGGAGTAGGTCGGAGGTTGGGCAGAGTTGGTATGGATATGACAGATTTGATGGTTCACCTCCCTCAAGGGAGGCATTCTAATGGCGCTGGCACCATTATGATTTTGAATTTCTCTCCACCACTCCCTGAGTATTTCAAACTCGGGGCTGTTCATGGAGAGACCTTCCAGATGTGGTATGTCTGGAAGTTCTAGTCCTTCTGGACTAGGATTGGGCCAACCTTCAGGATACTCCCTTCTGATTACCCTGAGGTGTGTTTTTGTCTTGCCTCCCTGACAGGGAGGCTTCTTTTTTGGCTGTTCTCGAGCCCTTGCCTGAGTTTTCCACCCATGTGATCTTGTTGTACAGTCTTCACTGACTCCAAGGGTGTCAGGGCAATAGCCCCAAACCCCGAGCCACATGTAAATTAGATACATATAGTCACGTGGGCAAGCGGGAACCTCTGGGTAACTGCTTACACACCACCGTAAAATACACAAACTTGTATCACTTACGGCCTTGTGTGCTGAGCCACCCTAAGACCTCACAAAGGGTGTCTATGTTACCCTTGTTCACCATTCCCACCGGAAGTCTAAGCTTACCTGGTTTTTATTTCACCAGGGAGTGCCAAATATGGTGTCGTATCTGTCAATGTTATTGTCAGAGACTGGATGTGGGATGAGGGAGACATCCCTGTGGCAGAGGGCTTCGGCCTCAGCGACTTAGACCAGGAGCACTGTGCCTAGTTACACATCCGTGCCCTAATTTACTAACTGGCAGCGAGAACTAAAAGGGGATAACTCTAGTCGATTTTATGACTAGGGTGTAACCTATCTACAAGTTATGTATATATAGTTACATAGAGGGTGGGCCCGTGAATGGCAGGACTGAGCAGAGTGGAGCTAATGGAGTTACATGTTAGCTGACTGAATATTACCGATGAGTCAGGTTACAGGGTTAGTGGAATGGCGGACTATAACCCAGAAATGGAAAGGAGGCATAGGCCTGAAGGTAGGCTTGCAGGGCAAGCAAGTGGATTGCCCAGCAGGGGTGGGAGTGCACTAGTGGACGTCGGAGCTGTCCGGAGGCCTTCAGGAATCTGTACTTAGGGAGGCATAGGTAATATATTGAATCGAGGGGGTGGTGACCATCTGTCATATCCATCCCCATCCATCGACTTCCGATCCCTCCGATCCCTCTGGTCTACCTCCACTCCTGTCAGGGCACAAGCCCTGGGCCCCCATTACATGTAGTCCCGTTGTAGATTAGTGTCACGTGACAGGCGACGGGTTGAAACCGATCGCTTATCACCCTGTAATACCCACACCTTTGTGACACTTACAGCCTGGTGACCTGAGCGAGCCCCACAGACCTCACACTTTTTTAAGTGCATGAGGTGTGATTAAAACTAATCTACACATCCTTTTTACATCTGTTCCGGGGACAGTGCCTGTGTGAGGCCCCGGCCCATGTCTATATTCCACCCACAACATCAGTTGATGTTGTGTTGTGTAATAATTATGTCGCGATGCTAATTTAGCGTCGCGGAAGCTTCTCTATTTATTTGTGCCGAGAATGTATAAGATTGTATATAAACCCTCGGGGTAGCTGTAAAAGGCGGATCAGCCTTTACTTCTACCCCGTTAATATACAGCCAAATCAAGCGTATACTTAGATGGACTACTGAGGCCTGAGGCGAACGGGGGAACGGAACGTTACTGTCCCCAAACTAGTAAGATACCTTTCAGCCTGACATGGCACCGTCATACCCCCAAATGGGGAAGCTTGCATCTGCAGCGAGAACAAAGGGTGGCTTTGTTAAAAAGCTGCAATCTCCCAATTTGGGAGATAGCCTAAACACTGCGTCATCGGATGATGACAAAGACCTGCCACATATTGGTAGGACCTCAGGGACAAACCCTGAGGATCCCAAAAACTTACATGGGGTAAATGCGGGGAACAATACCCTTAGAACCCCATGTGCCAACATGATCTCTCCTAGAAAGAGAGAGTTCTCACCACTGGGTGAGGAGGCAAACATGCGCACATGTAAGTGCGCGGCTGCCACACTAACAGCCTCAAGGGCTGGGTCAGACACGCCAAAAGAAGTCCCTGAGCCCCACTATCCTCAGGGAACCTCTCACTTGGTGCAAGACACTGACAAAAACAGCAGTAACTCCTGCTGGCACAGGGGGCCGTTTGTGGCCCCAAGCAATGTGGAAAAATTGTCCACATCGTCTCGAGTCACCCGCATGACATCCAGCTTGCAAGATTGCAGCAAGCCGGTTCACTCCCAAGTCTATTTGACTGGGAGTTACACAAAACCATCAAACGATCACTCCCACTGGCACAGGGAGCCGTTTTTGATCCCAAAAAATGTGGAAAAATCTTTCACATGTCCAGCATCGTCTCGCATCAAACGCGAGACGTCCAGATTGCAATATAGCAGAAATCTGGTTCACTTCCCAGTCGATGTGACTGGAACTTGTCATAAACAACCAAATGACCATTCCTGCTGATGCAGGGAGCCGTTTGAAGTTCCAAAAAATGTGGAAAAATCGTCCACATCTACGGAATCGTCTCGCGTCAGCCACGAGACGTCCAGCTTGCGATATAGCAGCAAGCCGGTTCACTCCCCAGTCTATGCGACGGGTAGTTGTGCAAATCGATCAAACGACAACTCCCGCCAGCACAGGGAGCCATTTGTGATCGCAAAAAATGTGGAAAAAACTTCCACATTGTCTACATCGTCTCACATTAACTGTGAGACGTCCAGCCCGCAAAATCGCAGCATGCTGGTTCACTCCCCAGTCTATGTGACTGGGAATCATGCAAAACAATCGAACAACAACTCCTGCTTGCACAGGGAGCCATATTTGATTGCAAAAAATGTGGAAAAAACCTCCACATCGTCGTTACCGTCTTGCAACTATAGTGAGACATCCAGCTCGCCGCCTAGGCGTGAGCCGGTTCAAACCCCAGTCTATAAGACTGGGAATCATCAAAAACCCTCATGGGACGACCCCCGCTTGTGCAGGGAGCCAGTCCTGAGTGGAGGAAATGTGGAAAAAACTTCCACACCACCGACACCATCTCACAACCACTGTGAGACACTCAGCGCTCTGTCTGAGAACGAGTGTACACACTCCAACATGGATATAAAGGCCATGTCATCCAGATCGACACAGACTCACAGGTTGAGCTCACTTCCGGACTGTCCTCAGATGGCCTCAGACCCAGTGTGGACACAGCAAAGGGACCAGGTGCAGGAGGATGTGGAAGCTCCCTGAAGTCGATTGTCTGAGAAACTTCTGGACTTTTTCCAGGTCCCATCCAAATGGAGGACAGGAAGTGATGAAGAACTCCTTCTCAGGCTAAAGGCCCAAGAAATAATAGGAGAAAAGGTCAAGGGCAGATGCTCAGAGAGCACAGAGGCTCAGGGGAAGCCACTGCTGCCAAGGCCGAACCCAAAACTTTTGCCAAAAAAAGCGAAGTCACCAACTTCGGATGAGGTCACTGAAGTCTGTAGGAGTGCAATGTGGCAGAAGAAGGAGCCTAGTAAGGAGAACCCACAAATGAGCAGGCAACCATCAACACCAGGCCCCATCTTAGGCGATAAATGGCCCTCCTTGGTCACTTCACCCAGGCAAAGGATAAGTGGAAGTAACCTTCCGCAAAACCCCTCCAGTAATGCTGGAGAGAACCAAACAAACCCTCGTGAAAACTTCACAAGGAAAACTTCCAGCAAAACATTGCTGGAGGATAACAGGCACCTCGAAAGATGGTACCACAAGGCCACACGGATGGCCAAACTTCTAACTTTCACCCCACACATAGACAGGGTGAAGTGGGACTGGTTAAATAATGGTCCTACTCGACTCCCTGACATGAAGTGGTCAGGCAAAAACGATACAGAAATTTTCTGGCAGTGGTACACCACACTGCTAGGATTCCTCACATCACAAGGATATAGAGGCACACACTATGATGAAATCCATCTGGATTGTCTCATTGGTGGATTGGCAGAGCCTGCACTCTCACACGGACTAAAACTCCGTGAAGAAGCCCTCCTTAGAGATAAAGGGGGGAAATATTTCTTGAAGTTCTCGATATTCTAATGAGGACATATATCAAGGAGCCCGCCACATTGAAGGTGACGGAAAAATACTGCAATGTAAAGTACAATGCAGGAAAAGGACCCAGACAGTCCTACCCAGAACCATCGCTTAATGCTAGGTTTCTGGAAAACATCCTCCCTGAATGCAAGGAGGAAATAAAATGGGATTCTCCTCTTTTGAGGAGATGTTTAGAACAACATCTCGCATAGACGAGATGAAAAACAGGCTGAGGATAGCTCCAGCCTACAGGCCAGAATGCTATGCCAGACCTGAAACCACCGTGACCACAAATCGCAAAAAGCCCAACCAGGTGGGAAAGGAGAAACACGCAGAGGCAAGAGCCAATGTGCAAGACCCTAAACCCAAATGGAAAGGCGAATCCTCCCTGAAGCAGTCAGGGAACACCAACCAAAGGCCGGTACAAGTACACAATAATTGCGGAATACTGTCAGGGTCGCGTCCGCGGTCGAGGCGGTCCGGGCGTAGCGTCTGGTGCTGAGGACCTCACAGGGGGTGGATCGGGCGTGCATACTGGCAGCCCCGATGTGGGACGGCGATCCCTGGCCACTTAGACTGAAGTGGGAATGTTGAGTTGTTATTAAAAGGGGAACTATGCTACTTACCTGAAGTGGGAATGTTGAGAAGAAGGTTACTTCTTCGGTTCCCACCCCAGGTGTGTTTATATACATGCGGCTTGGGTCACATGAGGTCCGCCACGTCACCCCGCATACAGCCGCAGTCACCCAGGTGTCCCCGTGGGGGATCCCGAGGGTGTATGCTGCACGTGCGCGCACTAGGTTGCACCCTAGAGCCGTCTGGGGTCGTCCGGGGCTAGGCACGTCGTGTGTGCATCGCGGGTGGGTCAATAATACATGGATATAAGGGAAAGGTCGTCCGTGTGAAGTAGAAATAGAAATAGAAATAGAAATAGAAATGGAAATAGGAGTGGAAGTGGGAGAGGGATAGAGGGGGAAGGGGTATGAAGGAGGGGTGCAGGGTGGGAGAAGGGGAACCGGGTGAGGTGGGCCCGGGTGGAGGCGGGTCAGGCGGGTGTGCCCTGACAAATACCAGAGTGGGCAAAGAGCCGCCCTGAGCACCAGTTAGTAGGAGACAGAAACCCAAGGCACAGGATTGCTAGGGAAGTCGACTACAAAACAGAAGGTGAAGTTGGAGACAACTCCGACGAAGAAGAACCGGAGAATATCTCTGGTGATTTCGAAGTGGAGGACACCTCCAATGACTTTGAACCAGAGGACCCAAACAAGGGACCTCACTACTCGCCCAGAAGAAAGGGCGAGGACATCAGCGTTGGGACCACAATAATGGCCCCAAGATCCGACGTCATTGAAAACAATGACGAAAAAAATACACTAAAACTGGCGATAAGCCAGACCAAAAAAAGAACTACCAACTCTTTGGTGACGACACCAAAGAGGGATTCCCCTGAGGAAAGTCACTCAGAAGACAACACCCCCGAGAAATAAACCTCGGAGGGAGACCCACTGAAGGAGGACCCTTCGGAAGAAACCACCCTGGAGTCTCCAGAAGAAGACGAGCTCTGGGTGGAGTTTATACTTGGCTGGCTAGCGGCCACAATCTGCCCTCTCCCCAGTAGAAATACTGGGCTGCATCACGCACGATTGGCCGACAAGGCCAATCAGCCCTCCTCGTACCTGAAGGAGGACCAAGAATTGGCAGATAAGATCAAGTAGAGATCCTAACTCCCACTTGTGCAGACAACCCAGTCCACGCAATCTTGCTGCCAACTATTGGCAGCCTTCCTCTCATACCGAGAGGTTTTTGAAGGTCTACCCGACCATCGACCTATAGTAATATGCTATAGTTTAACTCCTCAGACTGAGGAGACTCCATTGTGTCTGGAAGTGCTCCAGGCCCCCTTTTTTTTTTTCTTCTTCTCTGGCTCTTTCCTTGGGAAGGCCATAAACACGGTGAATGAGAAAGTCACCGATGCTTTGGTAGAAATACCACAGAAAGAAACAACCCAGTCCTAGCTCAGAGGAACTGGAACTCCCAGATAAATACCATCTGGAAAGCAATTGCTCGAGGAACCAAACTCCTTGAACTCGCAAACAGGGATAAAGCTGAATAACTTGGCCCAACCTATGCGATACTCATTTTAAATCCATTTTAATTATAAATTTGCTCTGTTTTGAGCAATACAACCTTTGTACTAATTTCCAAAGTCCTAATGCACCTACAGCATTGGTTTCTCAGACTTTGGTTCTATTCCACCTTCTTCATGTCGCAAGGGTGTGACATTGAATTGCGTCGCAGAGCGTGACACTTAGATGTGTCACAGTGCGTGACAGAAATTCCTGTCATGCCCCCGACCGAGTAACTTCAGGTAAAGCCGAGCAACTCAGCTTAAGTCACCTGACATTCACCATGGTGTCGAATCGAGAGGGCAACTGTGTGGTCTCAGGTTTAACCCCACTTATCAATGGCGGGGAAAAACTCGGATAAACATCTGAGGGATAACAATAGGGGAGAAAACATCCCTAATACAATTCCTTGATAGGGGAATTCAGTTTGCTTCCGGTGCCAGCCTGAGACCTCTGGCTGACCACAAATGCAAACAAATCAAACTGGCATTAGAAGACCAGTTGTAAGGAGTCATCATAGGCATCATGCCTATGAACCCGAGATACTCTCGAGACCAAATAACCTAGAGGAAGCTCTAGGGGGGAGCGACAACCTAGGGAAACTCTAGGGGGGAGTACCCAAACCCGGGAAGCAACCACACCCCAACAGACTTGGGATATGATTCCGTCCAAGGAATTGTCCACAGGCAGACACAACAACGTCCACTTGATCCCATTAAAACAATCATGAATGCATTAGAACTAGCATTCATGTTTCCTTGTGAAGTTGTATGACTTCACAGACTACCACACTCGATCGCATCAGATCGAGATTCAAAATTCACAACAGAAAGTAGTACAGATACTACACGCAATGGTCAGACCAGATCAACGCAACTGGGCAGCAAAGCTGTCGATGGCAGAATTTGCAATCAATGCGAGCTCAAACACATCGACAGGATTTGCCCTGTTCGAGTTAATCTATGGCCACATGCCAAAGATGTGCCTAACAGCACCACCCTCGGACTACCCAGGAGTGAATGATTTCGCCCAAAAGGCAAAGGAAAACCTAATGGCAGCACACGACGCGATAATACACAATCGTGCTGCTCAAACAATCCAGGCAAATAAGAAAGATGCCTGGACCTGCCTTTGAGAAAAGGCGAGCTTGCATACTTATCCACGGATAAGTTGAACCTACCCAAAGGGAGGGCAGGCAAACTAAAGCCCTTATACATAGGGCCTTACAAAATTCTGGAAACATTTCCAGAGACATCAAACTACCTCCTCAAGTTGCCACCACAACTTGAACAACACGGAATCCACCCAAGATTCCACATATCCCAGCTCGTACCTCACGAGCCGAATGACCAAGAAATCTTCCCAAATAGGGAAGTAAACATATTCTACGATTTGGGGAAGACCCCGATTGCAAAGCAGTAGTTCGCAAAATCTTAAACCATGCGTGGGTTCACAACAAACTCTGGTTTAAGGCCAAATGGGAGCTAGGGGACACCACATGGGAACCCCTAGGAAATCGTAATGACCTCGTCCACCTGGACAAGTACCTCACATTACAAAATGTGAGGGAACCGGAAAATCTCCCGATCTAAGAAGATACGGAACTTTCTGCATCACTACACCCCCAAAAACGGAGGCAGAAAAAGTGAAGCTGAAGGGCGATCACCCACAGCCAAGAGCGTGGGAAGATTCTGGGCAAGCAACTCACCCGGACAGCCACACCATGGGCTAGACATCACATGGGCTAGGCGAGTAACTCACCTAGACCATGTGATCCCCAGGCTCATTGTTAGAACCGGCAGATTCGGACGACTCCGGAGTGGAATCGGAGACTTAGCGTGGAAGGACCTTGGCCTCAGCGACTCAGGCGGAGCGCTGTGCCATTGCTGGTTGTCCTAGGGGTCCCTAATTTCGGATCTAGCAGAGGGAAAGTCTCTTGGGGGGAATTCATGTCGATTGCGGACTGAGGTTACAAGTTACTATGTACATTGTATATAAGGAGGGGTCCAGAATCAAAAGGAGCAAGGGTACTCTGAAAGGAGACAAAGGGAGCTGGAAAGAGGAACAACACTGAGGGTCAAGGGTTTGACTCAATGGTGTTTCTCAAAGGAGGAATGAAGGGCCAAGGCCCAAGGAGGAAGGAAGGAGGTTGGGAGTGGGGAATGGCTAGCTGACTGAATAGAAAGGAAGCAGCAGCCCAAATAGGAATGAGGGAGAATAGCGGAACTGAATAGGACAATGCAATAGTTGCAAGGTCCAACATAAGTCCGGAAAGTCCGAACTCGGAAGTTAAACTCCGGAATATTGGCAAAGGTAATTAAATGGAATGAGCTAACCAATACAATGGGTATAAGCGGAGGTGGGGTCAAAGTCCGAGGTCAGAGCTAAGACCGGAGGTTCCGGAGACAGAGACGCGAACGGGATTCCGGAGCGGAGGTCTGGAGTCAGGAGCATAGGTTTTGCGTACTCGTCTGGGAGGTGTCGAGGTTGGGGTCGGACCCGGAATGTTCCGGAGTTGGACCGAAGGTGGTGTCTGAGCGGGAGGTGGGATAATGTCAGGGATGCGTCCGGGGTAGAGGGGGTCCGGATGTATCGCCTGGCAGAAGGGCCCTCGCGGGGTGCAAACCGGGCGTGCATGCTGGCGGGTCCGGGAAGGGACAGCAGTCCCTGGCCACTTAGACTGAAGTGGAGAATGTGAGAAGAAGGTTACTTCTTCGGTTCCCACTTCAGGTACATTTATGTACATGCGGCTTGAGTCACATGACGAGTGCCATGTCACCCTCGGAGACAGCTGCAGGCATCCGGGTATCCCCGTGGGGGATCCCGAGAGCGTCCGCTACATGCGTGCGTGCTGGGCACAGCGGGGAGCCGTCCGGG